TTCCTTCTCTGGTATGACTAATCTGTACCTTTCTGGAATTTGTTCCCTTTAGATTATATTCAGAAATGGCAGAGGACTGAATCCTACCTAGGACCACTCCCTCTGCCTTTGTGTGGCCTTCTGAGGACTAGAGAAGGGAGTGACTAAGGAGGTTAAGAAAAATCTCTTGCTTGGACTCAGCTTGCCTTTAGTGGTCTCAGGATCAGGAAGGCCAGTGCCCATCCCTCTAAGGATACCAGAAGGGCCTTCAGCTCTCCTCATCCTTGCCCTTTGTAGTCCAAGTGCCATGGAGGAGGCTTCATGGGGCACTTGTCCTGTCCCTCTGGGGCTTCACAGGCAGAAAGCAGAGCCTTCAAGAAGTTCAGGCCCTTTGAAAGCTAAGAGAACAAAAAGGTCCCAGGGCTGATCATTGTTGCCAGCAACAGGTGTGTTCTCCAGAGCCAGCTCCAAGGAGTTAATTGATGTGTTTTCTTCTTTCTGGAAACCGGTAATTAACACTGCTCAGGCATAAATGTATGTGGCTGCAGGTTCTTCCTATAATCCTAATGCATAATCTAGTCTCCCTTTTCTTACTTTTTAGCTGACAGCTCTGACAACTCTGATTTAGAAGATGACATCATCTTATCTTTGAATGAATGAGGAGCCATCACCACTTGGAAGGAAGAGATGATTGGCAGGCGAGAAACTGAGTCAGATGAATTCAGAATACCTTCCCTTCCCTTTCTCACCAGGGCTGTCTGTCAAGGACCTTCGTGCCCTGCATTCAGAAGATTATGGTTTAGAGTCTCACTGGAATCTGAAGGTCATTCTAAAATAACAACCACAAAAAAGGCAACAGGGATTAGGCCCTATTCTGCTTCCCCCACTTCTCCTAAGATGGACATATCTTTCCTCAAGGGAAAAAAAACAAAAACAAAAACATGTCTCTGGGGTTATTTCACAATATATTTTCTTTGTATAACGTTCTTTAAAGAACAAGAAATAGTTTTTTATAAAACTTAAAAAACAACAAAAAAAAAAAACACAAAAAACAGGCATTTATAACTGAGGGTATGAACTTATATCCACCAGGTCTCTTGTCCCTGCACTTCATTTTCTTTGGAAGAAAATGATGTTTAAAGAACAATACAGAGGCATTTTTACATACGTATTTAAATGAAAAGGAAAATCGTGGTTTCTTAAATTGATAAGGATTAAGAATATTTTATTATAAATATAATATATGATTTTTTAACCTGTTTTGTTGCCTCATATTGCTGTCAGGTTAATTTGTTTTTTCCTTCATGCCAGAGGTGGGAAGGAAGGCGCTGCTTATTTGCTGAGTAAATGCCTAAATTTACCCACCTTCATGGTTTGGGGGCAGCATGGTCATTGTGGATACTGGTTTTGTGGAGTCGAGGGAACTTAGGATGTAAGTTCACTCCCTCTATTTTTCTTTGTGATTCAGTTTTTCAAAAAAATTTTTTTCTTCCCTTTCTCCCCAATGTGGAAATTACAAATCAAAGGCCTTTTTCTTTAATGTAAAGTGTATTTATTTAAAAAAATACAAAATAAACTACAAGTCTGTCTTTGTTTATGGCCTTTCCCTGTTCTCTTTTACCTAAGTGAGGTGTTCCTTTACTTGCAACTCTTGCCAGGTCATGTGGAAGATGCCTTCTAAGTCAGAACGGGGTGCTGGGAACATGTTCTCCCCTGGAGAACAGTAGCTCGGGCAGTGTCTGGCCCTGGCCTGCAGCTCTTGGGAGGATCTTTTTCTGCAGAGTGATATACAGGGGCAGAGGGAGGAGCTCAGCATCGTCCACTCTGGACACATCTGTTTATCCCCATGTTCTAGATCAAGAAGGCAGCTCCTGAGAAGGAAGGGATTTAGTGGGATTGGAAAGGCAGGGTTCCTGGCAAGCTTTGGAGGAGTGAGCAGACAAAGCTAAGGAGAGCATTTTGACCATCATCATTATTTCATGACTGTCATCACTTTCTTGAAAGGGACTGTCACAGGGGGCTTGAGCAGTTAACTATGCAGTCCTGGTGGTTGAGGAGCAGTTAGGCTGTTTGTAGATACTTGAGGGGTGTCTACAATTGGCCTATGTATAAACAGTAATCACTGAAGAAAGCACCAGTGGTTCCTCCTACCTTTTTGCTCACCCCTCTCTGCTTTCCTTCCCACAATAAATAGAAGACTAGTCTCTCTCTTTAATTTTGCCCAAATAACAGCTTCTTGGTTTTTTTTTTTTTTTAATTTAGATATCATATAGCTAAAAAGAGAAGAGAGACATTTGGTTGTGAAGAATTAAACAAGCAACACAAGAAGGCTAAAACTCTCTAGGACAGGTGCAATAGCCGGGCTCAGAAGCAATGTACAATTTGTCATACATTCTGAGGTGGGCCTGCACTGTTGCGGGTATCTCTTGGTTCACCTGAGAGCAGAGCTTTCACCTCTTTATTTGCTTCCTACCTCAGCTTTAAATGGAGAGTTAACACTAAGCAGTAGGGTAGTTTTACTGCTGGTACTGAACATACCAGAAGAGAGAACAAGTTACCAGTCAAGATCCAGTAAAAGCACGTCATTCTATTCACTAATGCAGCTAAGCAGTCTCCCTGAACCCTGCCAGGAACTCATGGGAACACTCAACAGGTCTCAGAGGTGGAGACGGGCAGTCTACTAGGAAGCACAGTTCTGGTTGACTTGACAACACACCCTTAGGAAAGTGCCCTAAGAGGCTAAGACAATGATGATTTGCCAGGAAAAAAACATGTAGAAGAGTTGCACACCACCAGTGATGTCAGTTTGCCTTCAAGCAGTATCTCAGAACTTGACCCCAGTTAGAGGCACTGGACACCTGCAGTTGGTTTTCTTACTGGGGCAGTGTCATGAAACAGCCATGGTAAAGAGGTCACAGAACCTGCTATGTCTTTTTTTTTTTTTTTTAAATATTTTTTAGATGTATAAACCTTTATTTTATTCATTTAGTTATATGTGGTGCTGAGAATCAAACCCAGTGCCTCACACATGCTAGGCAAGCGCTTTACCACTGAGTCACAGCCTCAGCCCAGAACCTGCTGTGTGCTAAAAGAAGGAAGTGGTTGAGGTCCAGGGAAGAGGAGGTCTGTCACAGTGGGGTGTGGCCCTTCACCAAAACTCAGTGGTGGTTTTTGGGTAGAGGGAACCCCCACCCCTGGGGGGGTAGATAAAAGGGTAAAGGCTGAGGTGTCTTCACTCAGGTTTCCTAACATGTCTGTTTGCTGCCTGGGAAAGCTGGTGGTGTATTTTAGGTCCTCAGCACTTACTCTGAAGGAGTAGCCTAGATGTACCAGGACAGCTGAGTCATGTTACATAGGCATGTCAAAAGATATGCAGGAAAAACTACAATGTACCTTTAACAAGACAAGGCCTACTCCTATTTCTAGGGATTCCAACTACTCTGGAATGTTACAGGTGGAATGTTACAGCTCAAGTAGAAACAGGCAAATAAAAACAGATCTAACACTTTCTGGTGTTAATGTTTTTGTTGTGAACATGCTTTTTCTCTTGTACTAGCAAAGCCCAGCAAGTGAGTACTTCCTTAAGCACTTCCCTTAAGGAAATTTCCAAATTTCCAGTGTCTCTGAAATAGCTCTGTCCTTTTGGACAGGCACTCCATGTAGCCTGCAGGGAGCCTCAGCCTGCAGAGCACCTCTCAGATCCCGTCACCTGCTGGCTGGGGTAGTGGGCTGCACCTGGAGGATTGGCATGGCTAGGAGAAAGAACCACTTTAAGGGTCATCTTTCACCAGAGTGCCCACTCCTCATCCATGATCATGATCCTTTGGAATATACAGGTTCCCATACATTCTGGAGAGTGGCATTTGGGCTGTGTTCTATGGTGACAACTGCTGTGGGTTCTAAGTTTTCCTCTCTGGTCCTGACACTGCTGAACTCAAGTTTGCCAGCCCTGGTCTTACTACCTAATAAGACAAGCAAAGGCAGAATTCTAAAACTCCTTCAGGCTGCCTTTCCCTCCAAGGTAGAGAGTGCCTCCCCATCCTTTTCCTCTCCAGCTGGGCTTGTGTGGCTTTGACACTGCTCAGCACCTCAGCCACTGTGGCCTCATTTTCTCCAAGAGAAATACCCATTTCTGTGTTCTCCAATTGTATAAGAGCAAGAAACCATTATGTCACTTATAACAGGCATCTTTCTAACCTACTACACTCCCCTGTATAACTGAAAAGTACTCCCATCCAGGGATTAGTTGTACTACACAAAGCTCTAGGCATGACTGGGCATAGTCCCATTCTATGGACACTAGCCCTGAAGGACCAAACACCCCCAAATCATAAATACCTGGGTAGAGTTAACCATGGCAGGGCTGGGGAAATAGTTGGTAGAGTGCTTGCTTTGCATGCACAAAGCCCTAGGTTCAATCCCCAGCACCACATACCAAAACAAAACAAACCCCAAACCAAGGCAGCTTGCTTCCAATTCCCCATTCCAGCATAAGGCCTACAGGGGCCCTGGGAGTTGGAGGCAGCTGATTCCCACACTGGAGACCCCTGGGCTAAATTAGAAGGGAGGCTGCAAGCACTGAGACTCCTTGGCGTCAATATTGCACTGTTCTTCCCTCACGTACAAGATCATGCAACTGCTGAAAACTACCAACTGTTGAATAGGCTTACAGTTGGGGGCTTTGTCTGATAGCCACAGCTCAAAACTGATGGACACACACTTGTGCAGGGAAAATGAAATCCAACAACCAGTAGCTATTGGTCCAGACCCCTCAGGCTCACCCCCTCTGCACTGGCTTTTACTCAGGCTGGTGCAGTACAGGGCTCAGGACCCACACTGAAGCCTGTCAGCCCTCAGTTAAGATCAAAACTGAGTGTGATAACAGTCAACTCAGCATGAAGAGCTGGGAGTCACTGATGCAGCAGGACTTTTGGATCAGTGCTGTTGCAAACATGACATAGGGCATACACTGGGTAAACTGTCCATTCTTTTAAGAAAAAACTTGATTAAACAGGACTGTGAACGGATTAGAAATCCATCCTCTGACAAAGGCTTTACTGACAACTTTCCATACAGTTAGTCAAAAAATAAAAAAATACAGAATACAGCAGACAGTATCTTGTACACTAGAAGTCAATGTAACAGAGTCCCTTCTCATAGTTGTTTAAAAAAAAAATCCCCCCCCAATCTAAGAACTTAGTTTTAGTGGTGGACAGAACTTTGTTCCCCTTCAAATAAACCAAAATAACCCAGCAGAGAATTCAAACCAAGGGAGTAGGGTTGAGAAGGGATCAGATTTTAAAATAACTGCTTTTGTGACACAAACATGGAGCTGGAAAAGACAGGTTTCGGCTAGGCAGAGTCTCTCACTATAACTATCACCATGTGCTCTTCTTCTAGCTTGCCCAATGTCCTCAGTGCTGACTGGAGGTACTGCTGTGAAAAGTCGCAGGGAGGGAAGGCATAGAGCATGCCTGTGCTGTCTCTGCCCTTGGATCCACCCACTGGCAGGCTGATTACCCCTGCAGCCTGCTTCTGTTTCAAGTAGGAGACCAGGTTCCTGAGAAGCCGCCTCTGTAGGCCTGGCTCCACCGTGGGTATCCCCTCAGTGCCAGGCCCACTAAGGGTTGCCTGGGTGGCTAGGAGCACTGCATAGCCATTGGGGCTCCCCTGTTTGATGCGACGCGTGACCTCGTCCAACTTAGGCTGGTCCAGTCGAAGGCGCTGGGCAATCTTCAGTTGAGTCAGCTTGCTACCGGAAGAGTGGTCTTTGAGGAGACCACTGATAACTCCCTGGTCCCCCTCTAGGATGTGCATAGATGTTGGAAAGCAGCTGTTTTTCAACACTAGAAGCCCATTCCAACCTAGCTGCAGTGTCTGAGCATACTCTGAAAGAGTCTTTAGTTTTTTGGTCTCATGTTTTGGCTCTTCAAGAGGCTTGGTCTCGGCCTCAGTGGTACGATGATTGCGGTCGCTCTCTCTTGTCTTCTTCCCGTGAGAAGAGTCTGGGGCTTCATGGTGGTGGTGGTGATGGCCCCGCTCTTCAGCTCCGTGTCTGCTGTTGCTAAGGGAGTTGCTGCCGGATTCCTTGGTCCCTTCACTGGAGTGGTTCTCCTTGCGGCTGCGCTCAGGGGTGCGGTCTGAGCCACGTTCAGACTGCTGCCCACCACCCTTGGTCCTGCTCCGTTCCTCATAAGGAGAATGGGTTGTCCTTCCACGGTCACTGGAAAGGCTCCTCCGCTTGCGCCTCTCTTCCCAGGGCTTGGGCATGCCCCGGTCACCATCTCCCCCCCAGCGTTCACCACTACGGCTGCGCACAGAGCGGCTATAACCTTCCAGGCTGTTTCTGCGATCAGAACTTTTACTGGGACTGGTCCAGTCCCCTTCCAAAAAGGTCCGGTCTCGGTCTGAGTATAGAAGGTGTGGGGGGGTCCTGTCCCGCACCCTCAGGTCCGCATCCAGGTTGCGGTGCCTGGTATATCCATCAGTGAGAAGCTCATAATGCACAGGGAGGGGTGAGGGCTGGTACTGCTGGGGATAACGAGTTTCCTCTGCTTTGGCAAAATCCACCCGCAGCCTACGGTCTGGACCACCCAATGGAAAGCCCCTCATTTTAGCACAGGCGGCCTGGGCTGCGTCCAGGCTCTCATACTGGATGTAGGCAAAGCTGTCTCCTTTGACATGATCAATGGTCCGAATGCTTCCAAAGCGATCAAACTCCCGGGCCAAAGCTGCCAGCGAGGTGTTAGGTCCCAGGCCACCCACCCACAGGCGAGTAGTGGGGTTGGCCTTGCCATAGCCTATCTTTATGGGATTTCTGCCAATCACCCGGCCCGACATGGCCACCTTAGCCCTGTGGGCCATGTCCAGGTTCTGGAACTTGAGAAAGGCGTAAGCACCACCCTGACCACGGGCAGGCCTTTTGATGACCACCTCCTCAATAATGCCATACTTCTCAAAGGCCCGTCGCAGCTCCACCTCAGACACGCTGTGGTCCAGGTTCCCGATAAAGAGATTTCTAGTGGCCCGCTGGTCGTCCTCAGGCATCAGGTCCTCCTCACACACTGCTGGGTAGCCGTAGGGGCGCCCGCGGTCATCATACAATCCGTAGTAGTCCAAGGCCCGCTCCCGGGATAGACCCACAGCAGCCGCGGCGGCAGCATCCAGGGCGAAGGCTGCAGCAGCGTGGCGGGCACGGGGTTCCCGCAGGGGCGGGGCGGCTACCGGGGACAGTGAGCGCTGTTTGTATTGATAGCCTCCATGGAGCGGCAAGTAGCCGAGCGGGTCGGCGGGCGCTGGCGGCCCAGGGGGTGGCGTGGAGGCAGCGGCGCTGCTGCTGCTGCTTCGCCGGCTGCTCCCACCGCCGCCGCCCCCACCCCCGCGCAGGTACACCGGCTCTACCTTGAGCGGGCGGTCGTACAGCAGCAGCTGGCGGGCCAGGGCGTGCTGGCGGGCCTCGCGCGCGTCCTGCGGGTGCCGGAAGTTCACGTAGGCCACGCGGCCCAGCTCTGGAGTGTGCGACAGGCGTAGGCTGATCTCGCCAAAGCGCTTGAACTGGTGGAAGAGCCGGTCCTCCAGGTGCTCGGCAGGCAGCGCGGGACTCAGGCTGCTGATGAGCAGCGTCTTGTATTCCGGTGCGGCCGTAGAGCCGGGACCCGCAGGTTCAGCCCCGGGAGGTGGTGGGGGCGGCGGCAGTGGAGACGCGCGGGGCGACGCGCCCGAGGCGCCCGGGTCCCCCGAGGCCTTGCCGCCGCGTCCCCCACCGCCGGCGCCAGAGCTTGAGGAGCGCCCGCTGCTCGCACGGTGATTAGCGTCGCCGGCGCCCCGACCGTCGCGATGCCCTCCTCCTCCGCCGCCGCCGCTACCGCGGGGTTTGTCGCGGGCTCGCACTGGAACAGGGTGCTTGGTGCCGCCGCCGGAGGCCTTGTGCGCCGCTCGCCGCCCGCCCGCCTCCGCCTCCCGTTCGCGCTCCCGCGGCCGCTTTGCCGACGATGACGAGCCACGCCCGCTCGGGCTCGAGTCTCGCTCGCTCTGCCGCTTCATGGCGCCGGCGCGGCGGGCGGGCGGCCCGTAGGCCTTTCACAGTGGCGGCGGCAGCCGCGGCCCAGGAGGCAGCGCCCCCGGCGCCGCCATCTTGGACAAAAGGACTCGGCGCGGCAGTGGCGGCGGGGCGGGGCGGGAGCGGCGCCGAGGGGCTGGGCGTTGCGTAGTCAGGCTGCGCCGGACTTACCACGTGACTTCTGTGGGCGGGGAGAGGGCTACTCTGGGCGTACGTCATCGGGTTGCGCCGCCTTGTGCCACGTGATCTCGCTGCGAGGAAAGGAGTGGGTCGGACAGCGCGCCTTGGCGCCACCGCGCAGCCCCAGTGGACTGAGCCTCGTGCTTTCAGTCTAGTTTAGGTGCTCCGGAGTCTGGCTAACTTCTTCTACCGGTGCTGGAACCAGTGCTGATTGTCCATGGGTGTCAAAATCCGGGATCTTGACCCAGCGGGTTTTTTATGTATATTTTTTCTACCCCCTGCCATGTTGTCTTCTGACTGGGGCCCAGAGTTGACATCCCTGATCCCTGTCCAAAACCCACATCTCCAGCATTCTCTGCATTCAGGTAGTAGTCCTGGAAAGGCCTTGAGAATCGTGGCTATGAACGCAGTGAGACCTGGCTGGGCCTGGTTCAGGCAGAGATAACGCACCTGCAGTTTAGTCAGACTAGGCTCCTTTGTGCCACTAGGTCCAACCTTCTGCTGTGGGCATCCAAGTTGGAAAGGCAGGGCTGTGGCGCCAGGGGCAAAGGAAGCCAGAAGTTGATGATGCCAGTAGTTAACCATTGCTTGCCATGCTGATCTCAGTGGCCAGAACTTTGTTCACCCCCGGGAGGGGAGGGGTGGGGTGGGCCAGGGTGCTCCAAGGATAGTTGGTGGAACCATTGCAGACCTGTAGGATGAGGAAGAGCACACCCAGCTCTTTCCTCCTATAATCGGAAAGCATTTCAGCAGATACAATAGGAAAGGTCTTGGAAGAGACAGCAGTGAACTCCATGGGCAAGCTGTTAAGAAGGCCCTTTAGCAACAGAAAACTTAGCAAACACACAGATGAAGTGATCTGAGGGTAAAGACCAGCTGAGGAAAGGTCTTTTCAGGTGGTTTCTGTGGGTGGGAAGAGCAAGTGTCTCAACTGAGCCACAATTCTTGTTGATAGCCAGAGAGCAGCTAGACACTAGAATTCCATAAGCCCCATAAGCCCTAAGGACCTCCACTGTTATCTAGGGTACACAAAGGCAAAAAGCAGCTCTTTCATGGCTTATTTGTATAAACCAGTGCAGCCAAACTCCAAGTAGGTGTCAGAGGGTAGTACTAACATTAGACCTAGATCACAAATCTTGACGAGCAAATAAGAGGTCAAAGAGCTGAAGTTTTAGAAATGCCAATACTGAATACATGGGTATCACTGTGAAAAACCACACTCCATGCACCCTATTCTGCTTGTACAGAGTCCTCCCAAGTACTTTAGACTCAACTTCTGTACTTAGGAACTGTGCAGCTTCTAGCCTCTCCCTACTGACAGGAGTTGGGGGTGTCAAATCGCCAACATCAGGCTGAGGTGCCTGATAACCCTCCAGTCCTCCAAAACCCACTCACATCAGCTGGTTTCAGCCTGTGTGACCTGCCCTGGTATTTTCAGCACTGGTGGGCTGAGGGACAGAATGGGATATACCCCAAGACTCTTTGCAAACTGGAAAGCATCATCTGGTAGGATCCTCATTTTAGGGCGAAATCTTATTTCAGCAGTCACTTTATCGCTCCAAAGACAGCTAAAAAAAATTTTTTTTTTTTCCTTTAATAAAAAAATCCCAGACACACTTTGAAGTCCTAGAGTAAACCATCAATAGAAGGAAGTGAATCCCCCCACGGGGGCACTGTAGAGCCAGCATCATCAGGAAAGCTCCAAGCTTCAATCTGATATTGTCAGGAGCCCACTTAAAAAAAAATAAATTACAAAAAAGGCCGTTTGGGACGCTACAGCTGAACTGTTTTTTTTCCCCTCAGGTGCAGCAGGGATGKGGCAGACTACAAATCAGTCCGAGCACTGGCTGCCTTGGGGGCATATTTAGGCATCAGTTCATTTATCTTCCGGATGTAGTCAGACTTTTCTGCACACCCTTTGCAAGTCTCCCCCCAGTCATCCAGGATCTTCTTCAGCTCTTTCACTCGGAGCTTTTTCAGGTCCACTGTGCTCAAGTCGATTTGCTTGTCTGCAATGGAGAGTAGGGAGAGAGTTAATGGCTGAGTGGGAGCACCCATACTCCTCTAATGTCCCATGACTGGTCACCCCCTGCATGTCAAATCATCCCTTAAAACAACCAGCCCTGGGCGGCAGGGGAAAGACATCTATAGATATATGCAGAAGTGTCAGTACCTACTGCCCCAAGAAGGAACTGACCCCTTCATTAGGAGAGCTGCCTCAGACTATGAGTGTCATATACTATCAGACATGCAGTATGAAGAGGCCATACGGTCTTTAGAGGAGAAACACCACTCCCATCCTCTAAGTGCCTCTTGCACAGTCATTAGTGAATGATACCTCTAGGTTGGTGACACAGCAGATAGATCCCCTAGTCTCCATTTATAAACACAGACCTGGAGTCAGGGGTTTACTCTATGACCAGAGTGACATGGAACCAGCCAGATGGCCCTGTTATCAGGATCATTGAGAAAACAAAGCACCCTTAACAAGTGAATAAACTTAGTCACTTGGACATTTGAGGCATAATAAAAACACTTGTGTTTAAATTTTTTTTTTTAATATTTATTTYTTAGTTMTYGGCGGACACAACATCKTTGTTTGTATGTGGTGCTGAGGATCGAACCCGGGCCACACGCATGCCAGGCGAGCGCGCTACCGCCTGAGCCACATCCCCAGCCCTTGTGTTTAAATTTTGCCAAAGAGGTCCTGATTCCTTCTAAAGATTGGGATTGTGGTCTCAGCCAGAGATGCTATGGCTCCTGACACTCTTGGGCTAAAGATTACAAGGTCTTTAGAAGTTGCAGTAATAACCAACTTGTTAAACGCAAGTAAGATCACATTCCTTCTCTGCTCAAAACTTCTAATGCGCCTAACTTCACTCAGGCTAAAACCAAAGTCCTCACCAATATGCAAGGCCCCTGTGACCTGCCTTTCTACCTGTCATGCCATTGTCTGCCTTTAGACGTCCTACTTTCTCTGCATGGAATGTTCTTCTAGTAGCTAGCCTTTTCGCTAATGCCTGCCTCCTCCAAAGTTTGCTGACATGACACCTCCTCAATGGGACCTACTCTGACCTTCACCCACTTTGATACTAGGTTCTTCCCCATCCCATTACTGAGTGCCATCTATACTATATACCCGACTCACTATGGCTCTAGATCACTACCTTTCATTCCAAGGTAGAAATTAAGCTCAGAGGTGCATAGCATTTGTTGAAAAAGGTCTGGTCATACTCACCATACTTTAGTTCACAGATCTGGCTATCTTTCTTCTTTAGCTTCTCACATATCTTCTCCACAGGGATGTGGTGGGCCAGGGGCTTGGATACCTCATTGATGATCTTGGTGGCTGCATCATCTGTGGCCCCTATGTAGTAACACTACAGCAAGAAAGGACAACAGTCTTCAGGGTGGCACTTAACATTTCTCTCTGTCAGAGCCTCATTTTGGGTCTTAACATATGCTCGGTCTCAACTAAAAGCCACCAGATGAATTCAGAAGTCACCAGGGTTCAAAACTTTAGTAGAGAAAAACAAACCAGAGACTGCCACAAAGATTAAAAGATAAAAAAGCCACTCCTCCATGGGGCTCTTGTCCTTGAAGCAGTCCTGGCTCACTCTGCAGGTATCCTGTTAATTTCTGTCCTCACACATACCATGCTCTTTCAAGCCTCAACACTCACACTGGCTGTCTCCTCTGCCTGGGATGATTCTATTCCACTTTGATGATGACCCTTCCCTCACTGATTGTTCTATCTAATCAGCATCCTCCCACCACTGAATGATCCTGGTCTCTCTTCTACATGATACCCATTTGCTGCACTGTTTGTCAGTCATTTTTCTACCCTGATGTGCCTACCTCACAGTAAGTGCTTAATAAATACTAATAAGATAAAAATATTACGCCTGAAAAATACATGCCACTTGGGTGAGGTCAAAGGCACTTCACTCCCACATTAGTTTTCAGACAGAATAGCTGGCCCACAGTGAAGTGGAAGATAAACATGAGCCAGGGCCAGCAGAGAAGGGTCACCAGCTACTCACCAACCGATTCTCTTTGCCTCTTGCTTCACGGCAGAACTTTATAAGTTCTTTTTCAATAGTGGCTGGTGAGAATGTGACATCTCTATCTTTGAGGTCCTGGTAAAATCTTCCCAGAAAAGAAATACAAACTGGAAAAGAGAGGGAAGGGAGATGCTCAGCAATCACCAAATCGTCTCCCCATTCCAACAGGAAGAAACTCTTACAGGACACACAGACACACATCATTAGAGGTCTTTCCATCACTGTTTTTCTCTCAGGTACCCACAGGTGGACAGAACCCTGCTTCATGTTGCTGGGGTTTCTTTGTACACTCAGAGCATGCGAGAAACAAGCATCACACCCAGTGACCCACAAATGATTCTTCCCTGCTCTTTCATCAAGTTAAGCCGAAAGTGAACACGTGTCCTTGAGACGGGGCTCACTATGACCTCATAAATGGATAGACTGGAGGCTGAAGAGAAACAAACAAAATGCTGCTCTTTTCCACGTACACCACCAAAACCCGAGGTGCAGTTTCGAAAGGCCAACAGATTGGCGCGGTACAGAGGACCGGCCTTTGGGGTCTTGGACCCGGGACGCTCCTGGGAATCTCTTAACAATAATGGGAAGGGACAAAAACTCCGACGTGATGTGGACTTCAGGCCAATTTCTTTGTACGAGCTAGTCTCCACTTGTTTTCATCCGACCAGTGTTTTCTAGGCCTGGGAAATATTTTCTAGGCCTTTCCTCTGGTGGACCCCGCTGGGAACAGCCGCAGTCTCCCCCGCCCGCTCGATAATTTGTTGGGTTCAACGCCGTCGCGAAGCCGATCATTGTGTGCAGACCCCGGCCCCCCGCACCTTCGCAGTCGCCTGGCCGCAGCGCCCCRCTGCCTGGCAGTACGCTCAGGGCCAGCGCC